AGAATGGAAAAACACATGCTATTTGGTTGTGTTGTTAATAGCTACTTTGAGAAACAACATGCAGACATTCACATAAATTATTTCTTCTTTGTTAATCACGCCAAATGCCATCCACAGCATTTCCAAAGAATAGCTGGGAACGTGAGTTGAGAAATTGAGTAATTTCTTAACATATTTACTTTCCTTATGAAATCTATATCCTCTACTTTAGGAAGACAGATGTGTTTGGGATTTCTCAACCTGGAGTTATTTCACATTTTCCGAGGACCAACAGACTTCCAGGTGCTCTTGAGGGACATTCAAGTCTATGTGGCATCTTCAATTTAACAATCCCATAAAATAGGGAGAGATATAGAAAAACAGATGAGTGAATAAATGGCTAGTATTTTGCAATTAGAAAAGCGTGTCACATATAGTATTTCATCCATAATCCTGGAGGGTAGGGGAGGAGATGTTGTTATTCCCATTTTACAGAAGAGTCAGATGGGATGCTCAGAGGTTGAGTGGCTGGATTAGGTCATGTGGTTGGTGAGGGACAGGATTACCCTTTCACCCAAGGTCTCTGGACTCCAGGAACTATGCTCATTCCCCAGAGAGACAGAGGGATGGGGTTTGAATCTTGACTCTGATGCTTATCAGATGTGTGCTCTAAACTTCATGTCTTCAACTGTAGGAGGAAGAACTAGGATGCCTATAACCAGAAGCATGGGAGAAGAATCAGTGAGCTAAGGAAAGACTTGAAAAAAGATGTCTTAGATCAGGCTCACCAAGTAGTCTAAGCAAAAAGTGGGGTCAATGGGAGCATCCTAACTCTAACTTTATTTGTAGTCTCACTGTTGTTGTTGGTTAGTTGCTCAGACTCTTTTGTGGCCACAGGGACTCAGCCCGACAGGCTCCTCTGTCCATGGGATTTTCTGGGCATGATTACTGGAGTGGGTTGCCATTTCCTCCTCCAGGGGATCTTCCTATCTTCCTGACCCGGGAATTGAACCCACATCTCTGCACCCCCTGCATTGCAGGCAGATTCTTTACACTGAGCCACCGTGGAGGACTAGTCTCACTGTTTAGTAATTGATTTTTATCTGGGCACATGGCTGCCCAGAATAAAGACTTCATTTCCCAGCATTCCTTGCAAAAAATATGACCATGTGATCAGGTTATGACCAATGGGATATGACATGAAGTGAGGGAGGAGGTCTGCCTGCCTTCTGTCTTTATCCTTTCTAATGGCTGGAATGCAGACATGGTGCTAAACCATTTTGGACCATGTGGATGAAGGCAACATCTCCATATTAGTTTCCTGGAGCTGCTGTAACAAAGTACGACAAGCTAAGCAGCTTAAAAAACAGAAATTCATTGTTTTCTGGCCTTGTTCTGGAGGCTCGAAGTACAAAATCAAGGTGTCAGCAGAAGTTAGTTTCTCCTGAGTGGTGTCAGAGAGGGTCAGTTTTGTGCTTGTGGCCCAGCTTCTGACGGTTTGCTGGCAATCTTTGAGTTTTCCTTGGCTTGGAGATGCATCACCTCCGTCTTTGCCTTTGTGGCCTTTTCCCTGTGTGCCTTTCTGTGTCAAAAATCTTCCCTTTTTATAAGGACACCAGTCATATTGGATTAGGGGCCACCCTACTCTGGGATGAGCTCATCCAAGCTTAATGAACCACATCTGCAATGACCCTATTTTTCCAAATAAAGTCACATTCTGAGGCACTGGGGTTGAGGACTTCCACTTATAAATCTTAGAGGGGACACAATTCAACCCATAACCGCTTCATAGTGGATGCTGTGCTGTGATTACCTTTTAGGATTGAAGGATTTATAGCAACAGCTGACAGCCCCCAGCTCCCAACATTTGCTGAGATGTGCCCTCAGCTGAACCCTGTTTTCTGCTCCAAGGTCACATGTCTGCCCTGGGGGCAGACAGGATCCAGTGACCAACCTTTGTGTGTGGTATAAAGTCTTGGTCTCAGGACGTCAAGTTGGACAACACTGAAAAACCATTACAGTTGTGGGGTACCCCAAGGGGTTGGCTGAGGCTGTGACTGCATCAGAGCCCATGCCTCTCTCTGCTCAATCCAGTCTGTATATTTTTCCATAGATGTCCACCCTGTATGTTGGTCTCCAACCCCGAGTCTGTTTCCTGGGGAGCTCAAACTGCAACAAACCCTAAAGAATCCAAAGCAGAGAAGAATCCTGCGTCCGACCCCCAGGGAGTTGCCCTAATCAGCCTCTACTGTTTACTGTGATATAAATATAAAAATATAGAATGAAAGAATATATATAGAAAAAAAGAAACTACCCCTCCATTTAAGCCTGTACTATTTGCTGCATCTTACACTGCAGTGAACAGCTGACTCATTGGAAAAGACCCTGATGCTGGGAAAGATTGAAGGCAGAAGGAGAAGAGGGTGACAGAGGATGAGAAGGTGGATGGCATCCCCGATTCAATGGAAATGAACTTGGGCAGACTCCAGGAGATGGTGACGGAGGGGGAAGCCTGGTGTGCTGCAGTCCATGGGGTCGTGAAGAGTTGGACCTGACTTGGTGACTGAACATAGCAACACTGCACTGCGGGCTTCCCAGGCTCAGCGGTAAAGGACCCGACTGCCAGCGCAAGACACACAGGGGACATGGGTTCACTCCCTGGGTCGGGAAGATCCCCTGGAGAAGGGAAAGTCTACCCACTCCAGTATTCTGCCCTGGAGAATCCCATAAACAGAGGAACCTGGCGGGCTACAGTCCATGGAGTCACAAAAAGTAGGACACGACTGAGTGACCGAGCACGCACGCATGATCTACAGCAGAACCTGTGTCCCAGCACTTGGTGAGGTGTAGGGGGTGGTTTGCACAGAGCAGGTGATTGTATTTAATGAGGTCTGACGATCTCTGTAGCCTGGAATTTCTAGGAACCCCAGATTCTGTGAACACAGTATAGTGGACAGTGGTCTCCAGATTTGTGCATCATGCTGGGAACTAAAAAAACTGCTTGTTTGGGGGTGGCATCCAAGACCTCTAATGTCTTTGTGGTGGGGTCTGGATTTCTGTGATACTGCCAGCTGGGCAGCCATCTGAAGATGGCATTTGGGATGCACTGGTGTGGGGGAACTCACTGGGCTTCGCTTAGGGGATTTGGTTCAAATTCTGAGTATCTCTATTTCCAGCTCTGTTATTTTTCCGGGCTTCAGTTTCTCCATCTCTGACACAGGACTGAATTATTTGCAAGTCCTTTGCTCTGCCTACTTAGAAAGTTGCACAAGGCCAAATTAAGCCCAGATGAAGGGCTTTGAAAGGTCAGAGGCGCTAAGTACACAAGGTGTGATGATTGTGATTGGTATTGACATTAAAAGGCTGTTTTTGGTCACAGGTTGTGCAAACCAATGCTTGACAGATGCTGTTCCCCTAGTGCTCCCAGGAGTCTTATTGCTGGAAGATTTTCCACTGAATGCAGTTCTCCTTCAAAAGTTTTGTTTTGAAACCAGAGAGCCAGTGAGGAGCCTTGGTTGATCCTGGATGTGGGCTGAGCAACTCAACTAGCCGAGCTTGGGGGCAGGCCCTTTATCTAGGCCTGGACCTTTGTGGAACCTGGGAAGAGATGCTCTTTTGTCCCTAATCCAGCTTGCCACGGTTGATCAAATGTGAAAATTGCAGTTTCCAGTGTCTCTGGACTGAGTTGAGCCAAACTCTCTGCCTTTGTCTTCATTTTTTTGTTTTTTAAATCGAAGTCTAGTTGATTTACAATATCGTGTTAGTTTCAGGTGTACATGTGGTGATTCAGTTATATATGTGAGTGTGTGTGTGTGTGTGTGAGTGTGTATGCGTGTGCGTGTGTGGTGATGGTGGTTTAGTCGCTAAATTGTGTCTGACTCTTTGCCATCCCATGGACTGTAGCCTGCCAGGCTCTGTCCACGGGATCTCCCAGGCAAGAATGCTGGAGTGGGTTGCCATTTCCTTCTACAGGGGATCTTCCCGACCCAGGGATCAAACCCAGGTCTCCTGCATGGCAGGGGGATTCTTTACTGACTGAGCCACCAGGGAAGCCCATATATTTATATATATGTGTCTATATGGGCTTCTTTTCTTTTTTATTTTAGACATTTTATTTCTCAGTTCTTTTTAAAAGTCTGTATCTTTATTTACCTATGGCTGTACTGGGTCTTTGTTGCTGCAAGCAAGCTTTACCGAGTTGAGGTGAGCGGGGGCGACACTTCATTGTGGTGCACGGGCTTCTCATTGTGCTGGCTCCTATTTGGAAGCAAGGGCTCTGGGCATGCAGACTTCAGCACGCTGGCTCAGTAGCTGTGGCTCTTGGGCTCCAGATGTAGGGAGGCCGGAGGGGGAGGGAGGGAAAGGAGAGGAAGATCAGAGCACACTGAGCCTGCCGAGGACCTCGAGGCCATGTAGTCCACCCTCTCCCTGTTACCAGTCATGACACGAGGTTCAGAGAGGTTTATCTTGTCAAGGTCACAGAGCAAGTTTGGAGATAGCTGGGTGCACAACACTGGAGTTTCAACTTCTTGGCCTGGGGCTGTTTACCACCCACAGAGATTATTGCCTGCTGCTTCCTGGAAGCCTCCAGAGAGCTGGGGAGTGGGGTGGAGCCTGGACTCCTTTGCTTGGACCTGCTTTCCTATCTCAATAGCTGGTTCCTCCCTTTGGTGTTGCTAGATCCTTGTTAGATTAGCTTCTCAGAAGCAGCCGTGGGCAGTGACCCGCCGGTGGCCCTACTTTGAAATGCAGTAGAAAGTTGATTACGGTCTGGAACAAGGGCGCTGTGACACCTTCATTTTCTCAAGAGACCCACCACTGCCTGAAACTGCTCTATTAAAGGCCCTTCTTGGGGGCTGCCTTGCTAAGATTCCTCTATTTAAAATGTAAATAACCCTGGGAGCAGCAGCACTTTCCATCTGACCTGCTTTTGTTGCCAGAGCTGAGAGCCGCTCTGATCTCCAGCAGGTCCTGAAAGAGAACCGAACTGGGCGCTGTGAGGGCGTGGGGGTGGGGAGAAGATGGAAGTGACGACCAGGTGTGGGAAACTCCCTTCTCTTACTGCAGAGCTCTGGTGAGGGCTGGTGGGCTCTGGGGGCCCAGCCCCTGCCTGGGTGAGGGGCATTGGCCCTGCTTGCCCAGGGATCTTGACCTGACTCCTAGACTGCCTGGGAGCCTGGGCTGTCCTCAGAACTGGGTGCACCTTTGATTTCCCTCACAGACAGGGAGCAAGGGATTTCAGGGGTGGGCTCCATGCCTCACGTGGGGACTACAGGGGGACAAAGGCCCAGCTAGAGGGCTAGCTGATACTTCTGGCCACTTTGGGGGAAAAGAAGGGCTCTTAATGGGTTGGGCTCAGAGCTCTGTGATGGTCATGAGAGTGCTTGGGGGAGGGGGTCTTTGCAAAGGCAGAGGAGTTACCTCTCTTCCTAATGTGATTTCAGGGAAAATCAGAAGAAGCCAGGTGCCCAAATATATCCATGAGCCCCCTCATCCCGCCCCCTGCCCTCATTGGCTCTGCCTCCTCACCAATGGATCAGCATTTCTTTCAAAAAAGAATATCATAGAAATATGATATGAATGATATGTCATGAATATCATAGAAAATCTAGAAACGCATAAAGAAAAAACAAAAACATCTATAATCCTGTTGCCTGTAGACAACAGACTGTAGCCCGCCAGGCTCTTTTGTCCATGGGATTTCCCAGGCAAGAGTACTGGAGTGAGCTGCCATTTCCTTCACCAAGGGATCTTTCTGACCCAGGGATCGAACCTGCATCTCCTGCATTGACAGGTGGATTCTTTACCATTGAGCCACCAAGAAAACCCAACCATCAGGTATATCTGTCTCTAAATTCTTCTAGGAGAAAATTGTAGGTGGTATGAAGTATCAGCTAAGTTCAGACTTTGAAACTGCATGACTTGGGTTGGAGTGCTGGCTGGACCATTTATGAGCAGTCAGAGTTTGAACTGGTTATCTCAGTGTTCTGAGGCTCATCTCTCAATGGGACCAGGTTGGGAGGATGAGTGAATATGTGGAAAGTGCTTAGAGCACTACCTGGCACATGATAGGTATCAGTTAGTTTGTAGCTATGCCAATAACCCATCATATTACAAACTAGTGAAAAGCTGGGCAACACTTCCTCCTGCAAAGAAATAAAAAGGAACCAGTCATCAGATCATCAGTGTTGGGGGGGTGGGTGTTGGGGTTGGCTTGCCCTTTTTCTGGTAGTCTCACTCCATGTGAGATTCAGCTTTCACAGTCAGGGCCTCTAGAGGGTCTTTCTGCGTACTTCTATTCTAGTTCAAGCCTTTGAAAATGAAAGTCCTCTGGGGGAAGGAGCTATTTTCACTGAGGTGCCAACAGCTTATCAGATCTGGGCAGGAAGGGAGGAGCCTTTCAGTGGCTTAGAGAGGAAAGGAGGGAAAGAGGAAGGGAAAGAGGAAAAAGAGGCAAAAAGTGCTGCAAAAGGCAGGAAGGAGTACAGGAGATGGCAAGACCAGCCCTTCTGGACCAGACTACACTGGGTGCCCCCAGCCCCTGACCTGGCTGCTGTCCCACAGGTCTCCCCCGCCTGAGATGAGGCAGGGCCTTGAAAGCGCCCCTCTGCCCCTTCTTAGGTAGCAAATAATGAAAGGAGCCTCAGTTTCCTCACTTGCAAAATAGGAATAATAACCCTTCATTTGCTTGTCACTAGGTTAAGTGCAATGTTATAATGTGTCTGTGGAGCTTGCTAGAATGCCTGGCACAAAACATGAAGGCAGCATATGCTCATGAAAAAGAACCAAAGGACCTCAGTAGACATCTCTCCAAAGAAGACATGTGTATACTTGTTTGCTAAGTCACTTCAGTTGTGTCTGACTCTTTGCGATGCTATGGACTGTAGCCTACCAGGCTCCTCTGTCCATGGGATTTTCCAGGCAAGAATACTGGAGTGGGTTGCCACGCCCTTCTCCAGGGGATCTTCAAACCCAGGGATTGAACCTGTGCCTCTTATGTCTCCTGAATTGACAGGTGGGTTCTTTACCACTAGCGCCACCGGGGAAGCCCAAAGAAGACATATGGATGGGTAATCAGGGTAATCAGCACATGAGAAGATGCTCAACATCATTAACCATTAGGTATATACAAATGAAAATCACAATGAAACAGCATCTTATATCCATTAGAATGGCCATTATTATTATTTGTGACTGCACTGTGTGACTTGTGGGATCCTAGTTCCCTGACAGGGATTGAACCTGTGCTCCCTGGAATGAGAGTGCAGAGTCCTAAACACTGGACCACCAGGGAATTCCCTAAGATGGATATTTATTAAAACAAACAAACAAACAAACAAACAAACAAAACTCAGAAAATAATGAACATTGGTGAGGAGATGGAGAGAATAGAACCCTTGTGCTCTGATGGTGGGAATGTAAGATGGTGCAGTCATTGTGGAAAACAGTATGGTGGAACCTCAAAAAGTTAACCACAGAATAGCCATTTGACTCAACAATTCCATCTCTGGGTACACACTCAGAAGAAATGAAAGCAGGAACATGAAGAGGTACTTGGATATGCATGCTCACAATAGACTTGTTCAAAGAAGCCGAAAGGTAGAAGCAGCCAAGTGTCCATGGATGGATGAAGGGATAAACAAAATGTGGTATAGACATAGGATAGAACATTGTTCAGCCTCGAAAAAAGAATGAAATTCTGATGAAAGCTATAGTACAGTGGAACCTTGTAGGTATTATGCTAAATAAAATAGCCACTCACAAAAGGACAAATATTGTTTGATTCCACTTTTATGAGGTCCCTTGAGTAGTCAAAAGCACAGAGACAAAGAGTAGAATGGTGATGGCTGGAGGGAGTGTGGAAGGGGAATCAGGATTTAATGGGTGCAGAATTTCAGGCTGGGAAGATGAAGATGCAGAGACAGATGGTGGCAATGGTTGGACAACAGTGTGAATGTACTTAATACCACTGAATGGTATGCTTAGAAGTGATGAAAATGGTAAATTTGATGCTATGCATATTTTCCCACAAAAAGTAGCAAAACCAAACCAAACCAAGGAAGCTATACTAGCAATGTTATTATTAATAACAATTACCGTTATATTTCTGAAAGTGGATCCTGTTTATTTTCTTAACTCTCTTGTCTTTCCTAGCCCAGCATAGTTCCAGGCTCTACAATAGGAAAGCTTCAAGCAAAACAAACCTTGGAACATTAAGTAAAGGAACAAAAACCATTGGTAGTTATAAGATTATCTTCTACTTTTGGTTTTCCTTCCCCTTTTCCTTCTTTGGGAAGTTAGGTCCTGGGTCTTTATCTCATTTTATTTCCTGAACCTAGCTCAGTGTCTGCTTACTAGAATTTTTTTCAGTGAAAAAATGATAAAGACTATTCCTAGGAAACTTGTGTCTGTTCTCCCACTTATAATCCTAGAAATGAAACTTGAGGCTACTGACGTGGGTTGTATAAAGTCAGCAGAGCAATTAAGAAGCTAATATAGGGACTTCCCTGGCGATCCAGTGGTTAAGACTTGGTGCTTCCAATGCAGGGGGTGCAGTTTCGATCTCCAGTTGGGGAACTAAGGTACCATGTGCTGTGCAGTGCGGAGGCGCCTCCACCCCACAAAAAGCTAATAGAGGGATCAGAGCTATCTCAGTTCATTGTGTTAGAACCAGATAGGTGAAAAGTGAAAACTTTGAGGGCAGAGGAGCCAAGACTTGGTGAGAGAAAAGCAAGATTTCATCCCTTTCCAGAAATGCTGAGTCCTTAATCACTAACCAGAAAAAGACATGTTTTGAATCCTTTCCAGGATTCAAGTTCACTTCCAAAGGAACTGGCTTCATTCCCTCAAGAGGAATAAGAGGCTTTCCTGGCACTCAGTTTTATTCATTGAACATTTCTTTGAAATGGTCTAATTTGGGGGATACACAATAGCCATTCCTTGGTAGAGCAAGATTTATCTCAGGGTTTGAGGACCAGTAGGTGAAAACCCTTGGACACTGGAATGGAAGCCCTGTTTGATTGGCTTATTTTCACAGAGTATTGGGAAGCACTGTGGTCCTTCCTTATCTCACAGGCCATGTGATTGCTCTTTGGAGTGAGAAGAAAAAAGGAAGAGGCAGAGCTGGGATCTCCGACCCAGTTGACCAGGGAAGCAGATGAGTGTTTGTTGTCCTTGAGAGAGTCTGGACATGGTTATTGCAACTTTCACTACCATTCTATGCACACCAGGTGCATTCTATGCACACCGGTTATATTAGCTAGCTTGTGATGTGTAACAAAAGACTCTAAAACTTAGTAGCTTAAAACAACAGCCATTTAGCTAGCTCATGAGACTGCGTGTCACTGCCTGCTTCTCTTATCTGGGCCAGATGTGACTTACAATGCTGGGTTCCTGCATCTGTGGTCACCTGCAAGATGGCTTGGGGGCTGGCTGGTCTTGGGTGGCCTCGGCTATGCTGGCTCAACTCCGCTTCATGTGGCCTCCCATCCTCCAACAGGGTGACCCAGCCCGGGCTTGTTCCAGTGGCAACTGTCCAAGACCTCAAGAGATAGAGCAGAAGTGGACAAGGTCCCTGGAGGTTCAGGCTGGGAACTGACCTGATGTCACTTCCACTGCATTTTATTGGTCAGAGTGAGTCACAATGTCAGCCCAGATTCAAGGAATGGGCAAATTGATTCAAGGAGAGGAATGATGGCAGGCTGGTTTTGTAAACAATCTATCATTCTTACTTTACAAGTTTGCTATCATCTGGGACATCATGTGAATGGGAGAAATAATGAAACAGCACTTAACACAGCGCTTGCCGTTAGTCATGCTCATGAAATGTTGGATAAATAAATAGAAGCAATTTATTAGACAGAGAAGATAAAAGTAAGAATAAGATGCCATCCTTGTCCTCAAGAATCTCAGAACCAAGAGGGAACACAGATGCATAAACAGATCACTCTGATAAAGTGTGGTCAGGGTGGCCTTCAGCAGTGTGGATGGAGTATTGTAGACACCAGTAAGAGACGGGCTCTCCTCATCCAGCCTGGGAGTGGGGGTGGGCTGTGGAGAATTCAGAGACAGTAA